TCAAATTAAAATGAACTTAAGTAACGTTAACTTAGAAACCAACGATGGCATAGCTGTATGATATATGATATAGAATCGTTGATACCACTTATACCACTTAGAGAAAAATCTTTAAAAAAAAATACATAACGATATTTTGTTGCATGACTACGAACGGAATTGGGGAATCAAACTACCAGCCCACAATGGCATGTAGAGGCCTGCAACATTGACACATGCCCATGCCTAACTAAAGACACAGGCGTAAACGCAAACGCAAAAACTTGGATACGACATGTACACAGGCACAAAACTTGGAAATAGGCACAGTCACAAAAAGTTTAGCCGTAAATTTCTTAAATTGCAAAGAAATTATCTACTTCATAGTAAAATTTGACCGAAAATGTCTTTTCCGGCTGCGGCATAAATCACGTTACGTCACAGCACTTTTGAAGATCCCAAATTGCGAGGCAATTTTGTGGATACAAATGCCAGAAGAAAATTTTTTGTAGATACAAATTAAGGATCTGCAAGGCTATATCGGGTACGTTGGCACTACGCCAATAACGATAGGCATAAAAACGCAAAACATTATTATAAGTATTGACATATTGGTACGTACGTACGTACAGTACGTATACAGTAAAACTAATTATAATCTATTAGTCTATATAAGTCCATTTACAAATTTATCTTTTAATTGGACGTAGTTCATTACCAACCCTGGGTATAAGCACAAAATGCCATGTGTTATTAAGGCATGGTCACCAAACTGACAACCTAAAAGTGCTTGTGCCTAGAAAAACGATGCCTAACAATGCCTAACATTTTGTCCCAGACAATTGTTAACTAGTGTCTGGTATTTATACCCGTGCTCATAAAAGTGCCTGGCAGTTTAAAGTCAAGTATTTTATGCCTGTGCCCGTGTCCGAGTTTTATGCCTGTGACTTAGTCTCATTATATGCCAAATATTCTATGCTCGATATTATAGTAGTATTCTATATAATAACTATGACAGATACTGAAGCTTCCATAAATGAATTATCTTTGTTTATTTCTAAAAGATTAAAGATTGCATAAGTAAGCTAGTGTACTGCTACGTATCACTACCATATCTGAGATTCTATATCATATATCATACAGCTATGCCATCGTTGGTTTCTAAGTTAACGTTACTTAAGTTCATTTTAATTTGA